CCCGGCCCTACAGGGGCAGCCTCCGGCTGCCAGCAGTGCGCGACCCGCCTCGCTCCGTGGGCAAGTCCCTGCCGAAAGCGCTGATGGTTCTCCAGCTTTGGCCGGAAATTAAAAATTGCCCAGGGAGCCTCCCTTGTTCTAGTATATTTTTATCGTCTCTGCTTTTGAAAAGAAATTGGAGAAAAAAACTCATTAAGTTGTATCTCTTGCATCACACTGACATCGGCTTGATTCAGAGGGAGGGATAGTGTTTATGTGCCCTGCACAAATCCCTACCTCTTAAATCGTTACTTTTTTGTGATGGGAATGATTATTAAAAGTGATTCTTTTCTACTCCATCCTCTCTAATGTGTATAGTCCTGTTCTCCTTTTGATAGTTGATGGTCCATGCTGACACCTGCGGTACTAGGAGATGCTAGAGCTTCTATTCCAGGCTGAGTTGTTCTGTATAATTGGTCCTCATCTGCTGCTCGGAGTTCCCTGCCTAAACTTGGCTCTTGTGTTCCATGTCTGGTCTTTTTTTTATATATTCATCCAGTGCTGTTTCCATGACTGCTTGCTCCCTAGCTCACAGTTGCCCCATTCTCTTGTCTTTTCCCTTTCCTTGCAATGTCCAGTCTCCTCATCTCTCTTCTTCAAATCTCTGCCTTTGCCCCGATGCCCACCCACTTTACCCAAGGCATTTCGGCTTCTCAGAATATATATGTGTCTCCCTTGTGCTGCTTCTGCCTTGCTCCTCTGTTTTTCTCTTAGTGTACAAAAAGCACTTACGGTTGAAGTAAAATTCACATATAACTGAACTGAGCAGCAGTGCTGTGGCTGCACATTTTGCCACTTTTAGCTGAAATAACATAGGCATCACTTGGTGTTACTTTTGCAGCATTCCTTAGGTATTCCCCTTGAAACTAATTTTAATGGTGAAATATAAATAAAACATTATTTGCTGTCATTTACATGTAATGTTACATTTCTTTGTTTTTTTTCCCCTCTAAGTTGAAAGTTCATTTTTGGCCTGTAGTTAGGGTTCGCTGTAGGGGAAGTACGATCATTAGAGAGTGTTAATGTAGAGGGAGGCTTTAAATTTTGTGTTGGAACACTAAACTCCTTATTTCCTGTCCTGCCTGATTGTACAGTGAACAACAGCTGTGCTTCGCAGCAGAATGGAATGCATTTTTTCACAGGAAGACTCCTCTTTGTATTGTATTTCTTTGATTTGCGATGAGCGCTCCTGGATCCTTCAGTGTGGAAGTCACTGTACATGTTATTACTGTTAGGGATAAAGGGAAGTACTTCCAAACAAAGTTAAAAATTAATCTGAAGTAATCAGATTTCCGTTTCAAAAATGTCTGTTACTTTAAAGTAGTTCTGTAATGAAACGTCCCTCACTTATGTCCTCTGTCTTGCATGTGATACTTCTTTCCCATATTATAGTGTGGTCTTTACTTTGTTGAGTGATGTAGGGGAAATCTGATGCTTGCAAAGCATTAAGCAAAGGATATTTACATTTCGTTTAACTTGAGCATATGTTTCTTCTGACACGTACATGGATTATACAGTTAATTTGGCTTATTCCAGTTAAAATGTCTTGAATTAGTATTTTGACATAATACGCGTACTGCAGTATAAATGAGATTCTAGATGACCTTCTCACAGAATCACGGAATGGTTGAGGTTGGAAGGGACCTCTGGAGATCATCTAGTCCAACCCCTCTGCTCAAGCAGGGTCATCTAGAGCGTGTTGCCCGGGACCCTGTCCAGATGGCTTTTGAATATCTCCAGGGAAGGAGACTCCACAACCTCCCTGCACAACCTGTGGCAGCGCTCTGTCACCCTCACAGTGAAGAAGTTTTTCCTCGTGTTCCGATGGAACTGCCTGTGGTTCAGTTTCTGCCTGTTGCCTCTTGTCCTGCTGCTGGGCACCACAGAGAAGAGTCTGGCCCCGTCCTCTTGGCACCCTCCCTTCAGATACTTGTGCACAATGAAAGGGGATCTCAGTCTTCTCTTCTCCAGGCTGAACAGGCCCAGCTCTCGCAGCCTTCCCTCATAGGAGAGATGCTCCAGTCCCTCGAATCATCTTTGTAGCCCTCCGCTGGACTCTCTCCAGTAGCGCCATGTCTCTCTTGTACTGGGGAGCCCAGCACTGGACGCAGGACTCCAGGTGAGGCCTCCCCAGGGCTGAGTAGAGGGGCAGGATCACCTCCCTCGACCTGCTGGGACAAGGGCACATTGCTGGCTCATGGTCAACTGGTTGTTCACCAGGACACTCCCAGGTCCTTCTCTGCAGAGCTGCTTTCCAGCAGGTCAGACCCAGCCTGTCCTGGTGCCTGGGGTTCTTCCTCCCCAGGGGCAGGACCTTGCACTTGCCTGTGTTGAACTGCAGGAGGTTCCTCTCCGCCCAGCTCTCCAGCCTGTCCAGGTCCCTCTGAA